GCCAAGACTTGTCATTATCCTCCCTTGTATTTATCCATATGTTGTAGTTATCCTAATCATTATAGGATTAGGATAATCATCCCCTTTATTGTTGTAATCCTTATCTCCTAAGGAATATGCTTATTCTCTTGTATGTATATATATGTATGTGCACGTGATGAATAAGATATACATGTTACAACCTTTTATTTCACAACACTCTCCAATATATTACATTTTTGGTAAAAAATGTTTCAATATTGTAAATATATTAATTTGTTGGATAAATAAAAACATTATTAAAGGGAAAAGGTAAACTAACAAAACAAAACCTTCTTTTCAATAATTTGTGATTCGGTTCAATGTTATATATATATATATATATATATCGTTCGTAGTATGGTGTTCAATATATATTTATCAATCAGATAACTTTGCACAAGTCACAAGTGGAAAACTGAAATGAACTGTCTAATCTTATAGGATAATAACTAGGTTGCATGAAATCGGAAACGGATACGTAGAAACGAAACGTTTCGAAACGTAGAAACTTGATTTTAAAAAAAATAAGAAATGGAAACGTTTTAGAAACACCTATAATATACATATATATATGTATGATTAATCAACATGTAAATTTATTTTTTTGTTTGATTTATCTAAGAAAAAAAATTAAGTAATATAAATATTTTTTTGTACATTTTATTAAAATTATAATCAATAATTAGAAAAGTAACACATGTTATCATTCGATAAAACTATGGAACGACTTCATTCCAAATTAAATCATTATACTAAAATGATAACAAATATTAAAAATAATATTAAAATATAAAATAATAAACATATAATCACTAACATCAAATGTCAAATAGTTATTTTTTACGTTTCTAATTAGAATCGCGAGTTTCCGAAGTAGAATCGCGAGTTTCGAAATCAAAAACACAAGTTTCCATCGTGTTTCCAAAATGAAATTTTCAAGAAACATGTTTCCAAAGAGTTTATTCGAGTTTCCAAGAGATTCCGATTCTGAAACGTTTCTGAAACAGGAAACGGACCTTGAACGGAGTTTCCATGCAACCTAGGATAATAAGCTCTATAAGTAAACTTTGTGAAAGTTTTTTTTCATCTGTCCATGACATATATAACCGATGAAAAAGGGTATTTAAAGTTAAAGGGCAAAGTCGTCACTCGGGTATAAACAGTTGGTCGACAAGAATTGTACGTGTAGCTGTAATAAATGCAGAAAGCTGAAACTCTTAACTTCTTTTCAAACTTACACTTTTATGTTTCTCGGCCTTTGCAATAAAACTATTCTGTTGTTTGCGTCAGCTTTTTTTTCCTAGCTTTTTATTCCCTCGCTAAACGACAATTCCCGTCTCGTCGAAGACCATTATTTTGGATCCAAGAAGCCATAGACCCGATCGTAGACATGTACAGATGATCCGTTTGCACTTTGCAAAACCGGAACAATTAGGATATCCAAAGATTAGTCCAAATCATAATCTAACAACTTTAAGATTCGAAACTATTTTAGATTGTTATATATACGTATTGGGTTATAAAAATAACAGTACGTGAACATAAGCCTTTAAACTATACATTAGGAGCGTATATGATATACGGGCGGTGATCGTGGATTTAGCTGTGATACTATAAGAACTGTACTAACCAAAACTCACTAATATTGTACAAACACATAGTATATGATGTGGCAATACTCTAATATAGAATGTAACATCTAAAATATAGGAGTATATGTCTACCTAGTTAATCTTTCGTTTTTTGGAAACATGGGATATATCTTTCATCGATGTACTCCTTTTTAGTTAGTTCTAAATTCTAATCATATAACATTGATAATATAAATGAAATACTCGAACGTTAAAAGAAGTTTGAACTACGGATATGGACAAGAGAAGAGTATAACAGAGAAAAGTTTTGTGTAAAAAAGCTGCAAAGTAGTAGTTGGTTAAAAAGTGAGTGAACTCGATAAACGCGTAACCCTAAAGGCAAAGCGTGCGTTACTCTTACCCAATTATTTTTTTATATATATTTCTACTTTATTTTTTATCTATAATACATGCTGGACGAAAATCATTACAGCATTCTCTTGAGCGTTTTTTTATTCATGTTTATAACGATTTTTAATTAAAAAAAAGTTACTCTCGTAGATTGCATGCAAGTAGTTTGAGCGACACTTTGGACCGTTTTTTTCTCTCTTTTTCTACCTATTGTTTTGGAGTTGTCAACAACTTTCAGTGACTAATTTATTCATCTTGAACTAGATGGATCTCATGACAAATCGATATATACGCTTAATTTTTTTATTGAAAACATGAATATATGTATTTGAGTTTCCTTGCATTATTGGTTCTGACAAATGAAATTTAATAATTATGAGGGGTAACAAATGAAATAAAGACAATGAGTTTGGTGTAGAAGTAAGAGTCTTTTTGCACAAAATAGATTGTGTATTAAATGGTCTCTGAATTTATTGGGTCGGCTCGCACATCGGCACATGTGATGACCTTACAATTCTTGTCTTTGCATTTAATATTCTTTATCCAAATAATGAAAAGGCGAATTATTATTGTTGAGTAACTTGAGTTGGTAACAAAGATCAATGTTATGATCTTGTGATTTCTTTCCTTGTTCCAAAAGGATGTCAAGCTGTCGCCAAGCATTTGGCTACTGGATTTTGTATAATTCAAGCTGGTTTAGGGGCTATCTTGGTTTCTTAAGTTTTGGGAATGTTATTAACATTATGATCTTCAAGTCAAAAATAGCAACTCATAAAATGTTTGTGTTGTATCTTTCCATCATTATTCTCCTTTCTATCAGCTTCAGAGTTAAGTTATATGTTCGTTGAAGTTCGTCTTTCATTATGAGAAATCAAATGTCACTGCAATATATAAATAAGAAAACTATATAGAAAAATACAACGAACAAGAAATATCAAAACTTCAGTTTCAAATCATCTATCGATCTAATATAGCCGTGAAAACAAGTCGTCTATGGCTTGACTCTTTCCTATCAAAAAATATCGTTGTGGGAATATTTTCCTGTTTTAAAACGAGTGTTAATTTAGAAACCAGTGCAATCAAATATATGTAAAATTGAACTTTTAGCCAAATCTATTATTATTCTTAAAAATAAAATCTTAAGAATCACTTGTTTTAAAATACAGATGATCAGATTACGACCATTCATTATGGTGGTACTTTTTAATATAAATTTAACAGATACAAGTATAGGTTTATTTTCGAATGTGTGTGCATGGTTTCTACAAACAACGTTTATTAAACTGAGATACTAATAATTCATTTATTACATTAGTTGCAAAATTCTAACAAAAAGGTTAAAAAGGAATAACTTTTGAATCGGCGGAAATGAGTCAGAAGAGAGTAAAAAGGCAAATACGAAAAGGTGAAAGCTTTTTTTTTCTGTGGCGATTCCTTTTGCAGGGGTTTTGCGTGTGAAATACAGATATTTCGTTGTAAAAGGTAAAAGTAAACCCCAAAAAAGATTAAAAAAAAGATAAATTAATAGTCTTTTTCACTAACACGTTTTCAGTGGCACGTGAGTTACAACGCCCACCGAGCCTTTCATCACGACCTCAAAAACACTTAAGCATACACGCGCTAGTTTCAAACGCGTGAAACTAGTTTGTCTTATTTCTCTGACTAGACTAAACTTTTATTGCGTCATCGAAACTTTATTAGTTGGTACCCTTTTTTCCACACTCATCCGAAAGTAGTAATTAGTTTTGTTGTACATAGTATTAAATACTATCAATTTTAATATACTTACCATAAAAATATATATTTCTCAACCGTATAGCAAATTACAAAGATAAAAATGTTGTATCTTGCAGATACATTTAGTAGTTACAAAAAATCAAAGATGACTACTAAATCAATTAATTATATATGATACTAAAAGAATTATTTACTTATTTTTATTTTTATTTTTTTTGTTTTACTTTAGATTAAAGTTTTATTTTGTTCATAATAAAAGTTCAATCACTTAAGTTTTACATTTTGATTTATATTTTATTTTTAAAATAAAATACATTCATTAAAAATAAAACATCATATATGTGTATATACTTAGAAATCTCTAAAACATCATATATTTATATATGGAGGGAGTAATGATTTTCATCCAATGAAATAACGCTAATTATTAATTTTTTTAGTTACAAAATATCGCTCATTTAAAACGTTGGAAAGATACGCTGAACTCTGTCAAACAAATATTTTTGTCTAAAAATTACGAATATTAGTTAGATGTTTACAGTCCAAAAAGGTATAAACCAACGCAATTTTCAAACCAAGTTAATGACTTTGTGGCCTTTGTCCCATTATAGCTACAGACACAAATGGGCACCTTGGTCATTTCAGATGATGTTACTTAAAATATTTGGCGTCGAATAAATTCAAATAGATAGACATTGAAAAGCTATGAGAAAGTTTTTGAAGTTCCTGTGAAGCAGATGATCCCTCATCCCATCTTTCTTTTTCTTCACTAATCTTCTTTTTTTCCCACGCGCTCACACACACAAGACAGATACACTGCAAGTACACAGTAACTTAAAGAGTAGAGAGACATCAGAAAGAGATAGCTTTTTAAAAAAAGCTTCTAGTTTTTACCTTTCTGTTGATCATCGCTTTTGTTTTTCTGTAAAAAGTCATCTTTTGTGTTTCTCCTTTTTTTACCTGATAAACAATTTTCTCTTCCAAAACTTTCTTTCACTTCTTCCTAAATTAAATATCTTGGCCGGTCCAGAAAGCTCTCTATGCAAAGGTTTCTTCTTATTAAGATAACATAGAGAAGAAGCAACAACAAAAAAAAAAACAGCAGCCAAGACTTTTTTCTTTCTTTCTTTGTTGAGACTTTTTTTTTACTTCTTGTTGAGATGAGAGCAGATTTGATTACAATACAGCAAACGCTGACGCCGGAAGCAGCAACAGTTCTCAACCAATCCATCGCCGAGGCGACACGTCGCAACCATGGCCACACGACTCCTCTCCACGTGGCGTCCACCCTCTTATCATCCTCCTCTGGCTTTCTCCGACAAGCTTGCATCAAGTCCCACCCAAACTCCTCTCACCCACTCCAGTGTCGTGCTCTCGAGCTCTGTTTCAGCGTCGCACTCGAACGCCTCCCTACTACAACCACTTCTCCATCGCAAACGCAGGAGCCGCTTCTCTCAAACGCTCTAACCGCGGCTTTGAAACGCGCACAGGCTCACCAGCGTCGCGGTTGCCCCGAGCAGCAGCAGCAACCGCTTTTGGCAGTTAAAGTCGAGTTAGAGCAGCTTATCATTTCGATTCTTGATGACCCGAGCGTGAGCCGGGTCATGCGGGAAGCTAGCTTCTCTAGCCCCGCCGTGAAATCAACGATCGAACAGTTGATTTCCGGTAATTCAGTTAATCCGAGACAAACCGGAATCGTGAATTCGTCTGGGATTGGGTTCGGTTATCGACCTGTACCGGTTCCGGTTAACCGGAATCCTTACGTTAACCCCCGGTTACAACAAAACGGGGCGAATAGTGGTGGAATGATGATGCAGAGGACTGATGAAGTTAAACGGGTCATCGATGTAATGATCCGGACCCGGAAAAGAAACCCGGTTCTCGTCGGCGACTCAGAGCCTCAAATTCTTGTCAAAGAGATTCTAAAGAAGATAGAGAGCGGAGAATTCTCCGATGGTCCGCTACGTAATTTTCAGGTGATCAGATTGGAGGATGAGTCAGTTGCACAAACGGCGACGAGGTTTGGTGAAGTCTCCGGGTTGTTGGAGACGAGGATGGAGAATTCGGGCGGTGTTGTTCTTGATCTCGGTGATTTGAAATGGTTAGCGGCGAACGGTGGAGGTGGAGGAGGAGGAGCTTTGGTTGAGATGAGGAAGCTTTTGGAGAGATATAAAGGAAGGTTATGTTTTATTGGTACGGCGACTTGTGAGACTTATCTACGTTGTCAAGTTTATTATCCTTCGATGGAGAATGATTGTGATCTTCAAGCGATTCCTATCGCTGCTAAATCTATTCTTCCGACCATGTTTCAAAGGTTTGTCTTTTTATTTAATTGTTGAGTTTCGTTATTAATTTTCGGACATAAGTTTCAGTTTTTGTTTTTTTTTGTTATGCTCAGGTTTGGGAGTAATAATAACAACAACGCTATGTTATTAAGCAGTAACATCATATCTCCGACGAGAAGCTCTCAGATTCCGACGGGTATAATGAGCTGCTGCTCTCGGTGTTTGCAGAATTATGAAAACGACGTTGCTAAATTGGAAAAATCGTTAACCGGAGATAACCGGTCGGTCTTGCCACAGTGGCTGCAGAACGCGAAAGCCGACAACGTTAGTGACAAGAAACTTGTAAGTTTTATTGGTGAACTGCTCCCAGAATAATTACGAAACAAGTTACTAAGTCTTGTTTTTTTTTTCCACGTAGACAAAAGATCAAGAAATTGTGGAGTTACAGAAGAAATGGAACGACTTTTGTTTACGTTTACATCCCAAACCGTCTCTGTCCGAAAGAACATCTCCTCCGTCCTTGTCTATTTTAAAACCAAACCCAAGATCGGACATAACTCCACCAGGAAGTCCAATCCGTACAGATTTGGTTCTTGGACGCCCTCACAACAGAGGTGTATCCCCACCAGAGAAGAAGCTAGGAGATTCATTCGACATCGATCTATTCAAGAAGCTACTCAAGGGCTTAGCGAAAACCGTTTGGTGGCAGCACGACGCAGCTTCTTCGGTTGCATCAGCGATCACTGAATGCAAACACGGAAACGGTAAATCAAAAGGTGATATCTGGTTAATGTTCACCGGTCCAGACAGAACCGGGAAGACCAAAATGGCGTCTGCCTTGTCCGATCTAGTTTCCGGAAGCCAACCGATAACCATCAGTCTCGGTTCCGGTTCACGTACCGACGACGGTTTAAGTCTCCGTGGTAAAACGGCGTTGGATAGGTTAGCTGAAACGGTTAGGAGAAACCCGTTTGCGGTTATTGTAATGGAAGACATAGATGAAGCTGATTTGTTGCTACGTAACAACGTGAAGTTAGCGATGGAACGAGGGAGGATATGTGATTCGTATGGACGTGAGGTTAGTCTAGGGAACGTTATTATAATCTTGACTACAGATTCATCTCTCGGTTTAGCTGAAAACGTTGTTCCTATCGATGAGACAAGACTAGAGAGTCTGGTGAGCAGAGGATGGAAGTTAAGACTCTCTGTTTGCAATACAAGAAAACGCAAACCAAACTGGCTTTATAATGAGCAAACAAAGCAGAGGAAAGAGATTTGTTTTGATTTGAACGAAGCGGCCGAGTTTGATTCCTCTAGTGATGTAACGGTCGAGCACAACGATCAAGAAGATAATAGTAACTTCCACCACAAGCTAGTGGCGTTAGCATACGACACTATAGTCTTTAGACCGGTTGATTTTGGTACGATCAAGAACATGACTGTGGAATCTTTAAAGAAACGTTTTTCTGACGGTTTAACGGTGGAGATTGAAGACGATGCTCTGGAGAGAATCGCTGGTGCGATTTGGCTAAGCAAGATTAGCTTAGAGGAGTGGCTTGAGGAAGCAATGGGTTCGAGTTTGAGTAGCGTGAAGTCTCGAGTGTCTTCTTCTGAAGATTCTGTGGTTAGGATTCAGCTTGAAGATGATGATATGAGTGATCAAACCTCCGGAGGGTATCTTCCGAGTAGTATAAGAACGGTGGTCGTTTGAGTTTTTGTGTTTTTCTCCGGTGAGGGGTATATTCGTAATTATTGAATTGGTGAAGGGGAAAGATGTAAATAGTTTTATGTCTCCAAACCGTCTTTGGCGGGGAGAGAAAAAGTTCGGTAAAACATTAAACAGTAAAAAAATAAGAGTTATAAAAAACTGGTTATAATATTAAAATCAACGGCTGAGAATAATTCACAGGCTTTATAGGATCTTATATATGAAAGTAAAAAGTTTGATACTCCCACAAAAAGAAAAGGAAGAATCTTCAAATATATATGGAAACAAATAATGAATTAATTAACATATAAAGATGTTACTGGTGACATAGTGATAGTGGATTGTTTATCTAAACATAGTGGATTGTTAACGCTTTATTCAGGGTTACATTTGATTATTCTTTCGTATGTTTCTTCTTGGAGTCTAATGGACTATATTATAGTCTCTCTTAGCATACTGAATTTTAGAAAAACTATACTATTATATATTGTGTAATATTCAGAGAACATTTATTTCAGTGGAAAGTTGCACTTTTAAAATATTAGGTGGTTCGGCTAGTATGTGGTTTGTCTTTATTTCACCTTTTTAGAATGAAAGCAGCAAATCCAACTACTCTCATGGACCAACTATTTATTTAAAACTCCCCAATATCAGACTTAATAACTCCAATTTTTTTCTTTAATTCGTGTATATAATAATACCTTTTATTTTAATATTTTAGTTTCTGGTTTTATGTATCTGAAATAAGCTTTAGGCTAAAACAAAGTAGTGATTATTAATACCAGGAAGATTGATGATGTTTCTTAGTTGATATTCAGTTCAGGTAGCAAGTAGTAAAGTCTTTTTCTAGGGGAAAGTTTATTTGGCAACAAGATTTACACTTAACATGTTTCATGGTTCATAAGAGTTTGAATTAGGAATTTAGGATCTTGATTAAACATCCCGTCTTTGAGTTCCACTTTGGTCAATACGCGATTAAGAGGGACTTCAAAATAACGTTAAAATCTATCGGCTTTGACGAAAACGTGTTAAGAAAATCAAAACGTTCAGCTGTCGGTCAGAGACCATACGTAGTAATCGGTCATGTTGTGTTCTTGAGGCCAAAATTTGATTTTATCATTGAATGCCATTGATTCAAAGCCTCAACCTACAAACCGGTCAACCACCAATAATAAATTTAAACCTAACTAACGTATGATAACAAGAAACGATTAGGACACTCGGTCCGGTGATTACATGACGGCAGGGCTTTTCATGTTCAATATAGACTGCTAGATGTAATTTAAAACTACATCAGTCATCAGGTAAATCCATAATTTAATATTAGTAAACTTGAATTATTTATCTACGTCTCACTAAAAAAAACTATTTATCTAAGTCTACTGCTTTTTTTTTTTATAATATATAGCTATAGTGAGAGGAGTAGTTATTATTACCAACAATATGCATGCCAAGTGACTTCATGTGGTCAATATGCCTATGTGTTCAGATAACTCCGGTTCCTTGCTACACACTTGAAGACAAAACTTTCAAAATATTATTGTTTTTCATTCACCTTTTTAGATATTACAATATAGTAGTAATATATAATAGGAAGGGAAGATAAGGTTGAATTTTTTGGTACTTGTTTATACAAAACTAAAAGCATGTCCAATACCTTTTCAGTATTATAAAATATGGATTTGTTATATATAAAGCAGGTCTTAGCCTAATTATTGACAACAAAGATTAATGGAGAGATATACTTTAATATGATTTCAAGTTAAAGATTAAAGCCAAAGAGAAGCACTAGAACAAGGAGAAGACAAACCAAAACATGCCTTTATATCATTCGATTATTTGGTTATATATATGGACCTTATGACCTTTATCTTTTTGGTGGATTTGCATTATGTCTCCTCATTTCATAGTTAAATATATCATCAGCCAAAAGTAAGAAAGAGTATACGCATTAGACACTGCAGTAGTTGAAAGTTCTTAAAGTTTAGATTAGATTCAGTTTCCCACACATAAAAGATTCATCATATACCATATGCCAATACTTGATCTTGAAGTGACAAAAAGAAACTCATAATAACACCAACGTGAGAGTGTAATTGAATAATCTTCAAGTGGAAACTAAAATAATGCAGCAAATGCTGCAACTTTACTCAAAGACCCGTTTCCTATTTAATATTTTTTTAGTCTTTCTTTCTTTAATTATAACAATGAAAAGGGCGTGAAGATAATCATTTACGAGTATAATATGTATTATATTGTAACTAAAAGGAGTCACAAATCTCCACCTTACATGATTGAAACCTCATGTTGAATTTGAGCTTTTTGGAAAAGGGACATGAACTTAACTTCTGTAGTGAGCAACTACACACTAAGGTTCAACTGCTATATTGGCATATCTTGACATATGCATGCATGTCAACTGCTATATTGGCATAATTTGATAAAAAAAGACACATGCATGCATGTCTATATATAATTATACATATTAAGCTGTAGAAATACTAGTTAGTTGCTGTAAATTAAAAAAAAAAAAAAAGATAGAATAACTATTCAACTAAAATGCATTTCTCCGTCTTTAAGAAGCCTGCTAATCTGATACAGTCATTCAGGATCGGTTCTATGTACATAATTGCATATGCACGAGATCCCTAATTTTTGTATATTATCTGGCACTCGAAATTTCTAGAAAGCTTTCACAACAATTATCAAGTAATATATTTCAAACACTTAACTTTGTTGCTCAGTATCCATGATTACACTGACCCCGTCCTGTTACCATTATGAAAAGAAAGGCCTAATATGTATCAATGTATGTAATCGTGTAATATAGATTATGATTTGATCCGACATCTCGGTCACTAAAAAGGAAACTAAACGCTTTTAAACTTTTTCCATGGACACCAAACTCATCATGTGTATGGACTAAGTCAAAATTGTCAATAGACCTTCCTTTTAATTAGTAAGAATTTCCTTCATTAGCAATATGCCTAACATGATAAGAAAACAACATTTCTTACCATAGACAAGCTCAAGTCTCAGTCAAAAGAAAAAACAATCAACGTACGAGAATGCTTCTACAGAATATATAATTCCAATGAAGCTTTTGTTCCAACGCTTAGATTACAAAAGCTGTTTTAATGTACAAAAAACAAAACACACACTAGATTTCTTTATAACTCCCAAATAACCAGGAAACTCAATATGTAGCGTAGGTACTTACCATAGAAAAATCACCAGTGTAACTAAAAACATGTCAGCTTCTTTACTGTTTATATGAATGCAGTCAATCAATCATCAGGCTCAGCAGAGAAATCAGGCTCTTCAGGTTTCTTAAACCGAGGCATCTCCACTTCCTTAACTCTCTGAGCTGCAACACCACGTCTTGTATTCGCTGCAAAACGTGAAGCCAAAACCATAACTCCAATGTTCATCTTTGTCTTTGGACTCGACCCTTCACACTCTTCTTCTTCTTCTTCTTCTTTTCCTACTACTACTTCTTCTTTTTCTTCATCTTCATTTTCATCACTTTGCTTTGATTCAACAGCACTGAGATGAATCTCCATAGCTCTTCTCTTGTACCTACGCCAAGCAGCTTGTATGAAGCAAGCAGCCCAAGTCCTCCAATGGTGAGAGTAGAATCTGAAAGTATGTTGAAGCTTCTTGCTGTGTAGCCTCCTAAACTGATTGGCAACAAACTTCAAATCTTCAGCTCTAAGAGCAAATGCTTCAACTTCAACTAAGGCCCTAACTGTTCTTGTAGAAGAAGGCAAATTTAGAGTTGATTTTGGAAGCAAAGCCCATGAAAGAAGCTCTTCCCCGCAGAAATCTCCAGGTCTTAGTATGATCGAGTTGAAAAAACCGGTCCTGCCTCCATTGGTTGTGGAACTCTCGAGTCTACCTCTGATGATAAAGAGCATCTCTGTGATTAAGTCACCTTCACGCACAAGGTAAGTCCCTTCCGTGCACAGAGAAGAAACCAAGCGTTCGCATATAGCATCGAGCAACTGATCATCCATTTGGGAGAAAAATGGAACCTGCATGATTCAGACATAAACACATTATGGTGGAGTTACAAAAATTTACAATGTAAATGGCTTGCAACTAACACCACACCGGTCAAACCATTTGTTGGATAACCGAAACTAGGGCTGGGATTTTGAACCAAACCAAACCCACTCACCGAACCGAGTTTTTTATTTAGTTCGGTTAGGAGTTTGGTTTTTGATCAAGTAGGATTTTTACAAAAGTTCGGTATTTGGTTCGATTCGACAATAAAAAATTGGATAAATTTGGTTACTTCGGTTTTCTTTAAAAAGAAAATTAGAACCAAACCATAACAAAACCCGAACCGAACTAACCAAAATTTAAATCGAACTAACCGATTTTAACCGTACTTAACCAATTTTTCTTAACAAAATTAAACCAACATAACAGAAATCAAAAACTTTGGTAAGATTCTCAAAACCTGAACTACCCGAATAGGCGAATACTGAATCAAACTTTATTTTTGGTTGATTAAGTAAGATTTATGTTGGACCGAACTAACCAAAAAACAAACTACCCAAACCAAATTACTCAAACTACCCAAACCCGCAGGCCTAACCAAAGCAACTGAGAAACTTACTCTTCTAACAAGGTCTAAGCATAGGTGACGTTGGATATCACGGCGAAGATCAGTGGGTAAACTTTGCAGAAGAACCTCTTCGTCAACTCCTCTTGCTGCAAGCCACTTATACTGCTCATAACGCCTCACACGGTCTCTCAAATCGTCAGGAAGTTGGCGATGTCTCATCCACTCCTCTGTGTCTCTCTTCTTCAATCTCCATTCCTCAAGCCGTACAGTCAAAGATTGCAAATATGTCTAACAAACAAACCAAGAAACATGAGCTTAAGAACACCAAGTTGAGACTTTTTACAACCTTTTTTCTGGAATCCATACCTGCATGTTCCCAATGAGATGAGCAAAGAGGACAAGACCAAAGATAGCAATGAGCACAGCAAATGTGGTTTCACCAATGAATGTGGTCGTGGACAGATTCTGTCCATAAGAACTGTGGACATGATGGAAAAAAACCCATCAGATTATGACATATCTAAGTCTAAACTTTTGATGATCTATGTAGTAGTTACCTAAGCTGTTGCAACCCCCACCACAAGCAGTAGAAATATCTCTCGTTAAAGTTCGAAGACACAACCTTTTTAGTGATTGCGTTCTCGAACATCCCATACTTAAACTCCCCCTTTCTCGCATCGCAGAGTTTAAACACGTTCGTGACATTTGCCCATTGTTGTTGCCTGGAGTCATAGAGTGGTGAATCACAGTCTAGGTAATAGAGATAACAATTGACTCCAACATCTTCTTTGTTGCATTTCTTTTTCCAGCATGACGTGTATCTATCAAACGATAGTATATACCACGCCGCACCAAGCACCTGTGCCAAAAACAAAATAAACAACCTATCTAAGATTTTAATCATTATATAAAGAAATAAAAGAATGTGATTCACTTCACATACATGACTAGCTAGCATGTATAGCAAGAGGTTATAAGCAGCTCCAGCCCAAGCAGTCTTTGTAACCACACCAGTCGCTTTAACGATCTGAGAACTCAACGGGATTATCAGATAGAATCTTGGTATGTATTGTAAGAGCACAATCAAGGCGAGATCATTGTTGCTATGATCAAACCGGTAGCTTCTTGTAGCCGGCATAACAAACCAGATAACTATCTGAGGAAGGGGCAACGTTGCAATGAGATCAATGATGAAGTCAGATTTAAGATACCTCCAAGCAATAGCCTTGGGATCCATCACAAGCTCACCTCTACCAAACACTCTAGTACTCGAGTTTGGAGCGATGAAACCTGTCCTGAACTTGATGAAAATGTGGAGCAGGTAGAAGAGATCAGCAATGGTTCTGAAGAAGGTGACGAGGATTCTTAAATTCGTGTCGGTTTTGGCGCAGGGGTAGTCTTTGTTTCCACCAATGGCTGGGACGAAGAAGTATAGAGGGTCTATGAAGAGAGCAAGCATGCAGGAGATGATGAAGACCCAGTTCCATTTCAAGACAATCTCACTTCCTGGATCAAGAATGGTCTTGTACCATGGCACTTTAGAAGATTTTGACTTGTTGTTGTCAGTGTATCTACTGATTCTGTTTCCAGCCAGGAGGTTATCAGAAGGTCTTAGTGCTGAAGGTAGAGAGAGTTTGTATGATTTGGACATTGGATCATTCACAGCCCATATGGCTTCTTTGCTTTCTTTCTTGTCTGAATACAACCTACAAAGATAGAAACTTTACTCTTTTGAGCTTTCATGTAATAGAAACACCAGTAAAGAAGACAAAACTAAAGTAAAGTCTTAGACTTTTATTACAGGACAACCAATCAGAAAACAGAACAGACAAATCACGACTTTGAGGAGAGGTAATATGACCCGGAACATTGAAATCTAACTAAAAGACAATGAAATTGAAGTTAAGAGCTCACATAAGAAGCTTGTCCTTGCTCAACTCCATTAGAAGAAGCTTTAAGCTCGAGAAAGAAGAACCCTTTTGATCCCAGACAAAATAAAGAAAGAGGCTTTCTTTGATTCGTGCAGACTCTGACACACTCTCACTCTCTCTCTAAATCTGAGGGAGCTCTGGTTAATTCCTCCTGGGGAGAATTGAGACGAGGGAGTCACGGGAACAAGGCAGAGAGCATATCTTTATTTTTTTTTTTCTCAGCTGTAAGAAAAAAGTAAGGAAGAGGATATTTGTGTGTGTTTTAGGAATATTTGGCTCATCGATAATAGTAAGACAGGAAAGTCAAACACTTTTGACCACATCACTTAACTAACTAATCAGAGTTATTGGTGCTGTCTACTGTGTAAGTAATGACTTTTAAAGGTTTGTTTATCTCATGTGTAATAAGCCTTGTAACTAAACCAATTAAAGGATGAAATACTACGTCACAAAAATAACCACTTTTATAGTATTGTCGTTAGATCCAAACACAGTTCTGTTGTTTGATCACATGCGGAAAACAAAAGTATTTGACATAACTCAGGATATGAAGATGGTATTGGTAGATTGAGGCCAAAAAGTAGCAACTTTACTTAACTTCATCATGAACAAAAACTCAAGCAGAAACATTGATGAAAATAACTAAACTCTACATATTTCATCATGAACTAACTGAAGCAGAAACATTGATGAAAAAAGAAACTTAACTGTGTACTTTATCATTGACAAATCCTAATTGAATTCCAATAAACCATCAAGTTAGAAGCAACATGTTTAAAGTAACAATCTCAAGTGAAATCAACAGCTATTTCAATTGAGTCTCAAATGTTATCTAAACTGATATGATCACATGAAAGATCTAAACTCTGCAGAGTAGTGCAAAACTGTTGCTTACCAGTGAGCTAAAGGGGATTCTCTATAAGTCTAACAGCTAAGAAAATACAAAACATTGCTAACACTTCAATTCCCAGTCTGTAAGATTGAGTTTCAACAATTGGCATAATATTTCAAGTTCTTGGGATCAAATCTTGAAACAATATTGAATTCTCCATCACCAGTAAAGCAAGAAGCTTTCACAATTTGTTGAGCTCTGTAAAAAGATAAACTGTACATGATTTTGATTATTGATGAAAACCAAATTTGCTTTAACATCACCATAATAAAATTAAAGTGAACCAAACAACTATCAAACAACAAATCTAACTACTAAAGAACTAGTTACGTTCTTCTCCCATCAAAAAAAAAAAATTCCACCTTTTAAACCCTATCCCTGCAAATCGGACAAGTCCCAACTTTCATCAACCAAAAGTCCACACACTTCCTATGAAACACGTGCCCACATCCAGGCAATCTCCGACACCACTGTCCTTGTCTGAACCCATCGATACAAACCACGCACTCCCCTCCGTACTTTGTCGGCTCACAAAACTTAAACTGCGGAAGACTCTTCACGCATCTGGGAGACAACCCATCCGAGGATTCGTTACGGAGGTGGCGACGGAGGCGGCGGCGGTAGTTACGGTGGAGAAACCAGTAGAGAGCGAAGAAGAAGACGGAGAAACCGAGAGACATGAGGATGAAGAGCAAGGCGGTTAGAGCTACAGGGATCATGATGAAACCCACGAGGATTTTGGAGAGGATCTTGGTTGAGAGGTTCGTCGTGTTGGCCTTCGGTGAAGGCGGTGGATACGGTGTTTGTTCGGCGGTGATTGCGTCATCGTGAGGAAGAGGTGTCGACGACATCGGACGGAGATAAAAATCTTCTCTTTTCTTTTTTTTTGGTTTTTTGTTTTGAATTTGTTAAAGAATGAAACTTTGTTTGAGGGATTAATAAGGAGAAGGGTTATATTACGATCAGAAGGATTCCATATTTTTGATGGAATTGGATCAAAAACTGTGGATACGAACAATACAAGGGGGTGTGTTGTGTTGTTTTGTATTATTTTATTCACTATTTGTAATTAACTAAATTATAAATATGAGGGAATATTCGGACATTTTAACTAGTTCTCTGTAAATTCGCTAGAAAAGTCTTTTTTTTTAAAAAAATATTCGAAAATATGTATATTGTTTTTAATAGGAAATTTACGTTACAAAATGGTGCAGCTTAATTGCACAAACAACAAAAGGTTGTAAGTCAAAGGGTATAGTACAATATATTTGGGTACAATGAAGTCTGTGATGCAAACAGAACTACAAAAGCTTAATTGCACTTTAAAACCGTTTATTGTTTATTATTTATTATTTTTTAGTCTGTGATGCAAACAGAACTAACTCTTTGTGAAATATTCTAGAATTCTTCGTGATATTTTTACGTATGTTTTTAATTAATTTTGTTTATCACATCATTGGTATTCTTATTTTAAGATAAAATACTTCAATAATGAAATAACATATGATAATAGCATATAAACATTGTGAAATAGTATCAGGATATAAATTACTTTACCAAATCTTATCATACGGAATACAGAATGCTTTTCACGAGAAAACTAGATCAGATAAAAACAAACGGCCAAATCATATTTCAATTTTAAGGATTAAATAGAGTAATTAGCCATATGATAATTGCAAGTTAAAAGATTAAATGATTTTGCTTCTAATTATAAAAATAGAGTTGATTAGTTATATGATACTCCTCCGTTCCTAATACATATTCTAAAAAAAAATTTTTTTTTAAAAATATCCATGTTTTATATTTTTAATGCATGTTTTATTAACTAATTGTAAATTTTAAAAAAATTTAATTGCACTAATTAATTGTTTGTTGGTTTAAATTATGGAAATAAAATAAATTAAAAAAAATTATATAAATTTATTGTGTTTTATTAAAACATGTGAAAAATTAGAATATGGATTTTTAAGTAACAGATGGAGTAAATAATACGAATTAAAAAGAAAGAGAAAATTGATTTTAGTTCCATTTATTATCATTATCTCTGAACTCTCCTCTCTCGTAAAGATTAAGTGGGAAGAGATAGAGACAGGCCGACAAGGGCAACTTCCTCTCGGTAACAGCCGTTCTTTATGTCACCATACCAAGCCACCACCTCTAACATTCGTTCTTTGCAACATTTTTTATATTATCTCCTTGATTCTTTTATAGTACGTACATTTTCCTCTTGTTCATAACTTGGTTTAGAATAAAGTTTCTTGTTTTGACGTTAGGCCCATTATCATTCGTATTCTAATCCGCAGAGGTTGCAGTTTTTTCTGGGGCTTGTCCAATGATGGTTTCTAGTCCATTTTCATGAAACAAAACCATTCGGTTTACTCCAAAATTTGGTTCGATCTGAATTCAGATGGAAATATCTCTATAATATTATTTGAGAAGTCATTTTTTTAGGTATCGCGCTCACGTTAACTCTCACGCTCGTTGATTACTATGATACTCCTAATGAATTAAAAATATAATTAAATATTATTTCCTTTTTAAAAATTTTCAAATAACAATATAAAATAAAAAGGAAACATTTATAAAATTTACAAAACTATTTAAAAACGAAAATATAAGTATATATAATATGGTTTAATAAAAAATGGAAAGTTCACAAAATAGTAATAATTAAATTAAATATATTTTAAATAACATAAAATATACCTTTGAAGTATTAAAATACTTTATATCTATATCTTCTTATATAAAAAAAAATATCTGTATATAATGAGATTTCATAAAAAAAAATTCACACAAAAAATATTGCTATTAGAAAAAGAAATATTTTTTCCTTAAAAAATAATTTTAAACAATAAAATATATATATTTTCAAAATAATTATGATTACATACAATAATCAACTAACATAAACTGATATATGTTTAACTGACATTTTTTTATAATTAGTATTATTGAAATTATTTTTTTAGTATATTTATTTGACTATAATATCTTACAATTACAGTAAAAATTTAAATTCTATTTTACTTATATACTATAAATTCTCAAAAACAATCACTTTTTACTGACTATTTTAAGAGATACTAAAAATAAAATTAAAAATAAATTTAATGATAAACATCTTTTGATCAAGTAACTACAATTATTTTAAAATATCATAACACTATATAATTTAACGAGGTATATATATTATATTTTAATAGTTAAAATTATCTGTTCTAAGAATAAAGATTCTGATTTACTTAAGTATTTTGATTATGGTTATATTAAGTTTCACAAACATAAAATAACTACAATTATTATAAAATACCTTAACACTATATAATTTAACGAGGTAGATGTATTATATTTTAATAGTTAAAATTATCTGTTTTCTTAATAATCTTTTAATTTTTATTTTTTTGTTTTTATGTTTGTGAAACTTAATATAACCATAGTCAAATACTTAAGCAAATCAGAATCCTTATTTTTAAAATTATTTAAAATAAATTTCAGTTTACCATCCAAACAATCTAAAGCATAAATTTATTTAGAATTTATAAAATATGATAACTATTGTAAATATTGATATGTGTTCAAAAATCTTCTAGAAATTCATTAGTTACTTATGTATGTAATTTAGAATCAGAAATTTAGTTTTTATTTTTTTTCCTTCTAAGCACAAAAAAATCTTAAGTTATATATAAGCTTACTAAATATACTTATATTTCTAAGATAACAACCAACATAAATGCAAATAAGACAATTAATCAAAAATTTAATATTTTAAAATATAAAAGATAATAATTTAATTCAGAGAAATAGATAGAATCCAGTATATCTAAATGATAACTAAATCGACAGTAAAAACAATAAAACAGACTAAATATAACATATCTAAAATTATATATATAATTAAAATAATATAATATTATAATATAAATTAGACATACAAACTATAAATTAATTTAAAAATTAAAATAAATATCAATCAGTTATTATTGTATATTTATTTTATAAATATATATGTCCGTGCATAAGCACGGGAAAATCACCTAGTATGTATAATACCTCTAACCTCTATCTGCATAGAGGATCACATGGCTCAGTCAACTCCAGATATACATAATACATGAATGTCTTGACTTTTAGATTAGGAAAAATCAATTCTTGATGTATTTCCATTGGGATTATTGGCACGAAAGGAAAAATGGGAGTTGTCAAGAAAACATATTAAAACAAAATAGGGAAGTCAAAGAAATATATGGTATGGTCTGATATAGTATGGCATGATATGGTATGGTAAGGTATGGTATGGTATACATGCATGCTAATCTGGAGATGAACATATACCATAACACTTATATAAATAGATATTCCGCATATGAAATATAACAAACAATCTTAAATATCTTCTTTGCTTAAAGGAAAAAAAGAAGAAAAAAAAACGAGCCATGGGTAAAAGTATTTTGGTTTTCTCTGTCGTTGTTGTTTTTCTCTTCTCTATTGCATATGCAACTCCTGGAATCGGAACTTTCTACACAAGTTACACTCGTAAGAATATTATTTTAAACTGTTTTTGTGTATAGTACGTACTACTTGATTTGTAACCCAAATAAGAACATATAAAAACAAACTCTTTTTTTCGGAAAAGAATATAAAACAAACTTTACACATGTAACTATAGCGAAATGATATATATAACTTTATAACTTTCTATGTTGTTTTGATAGCATCAGCATGTTACGGAAACAAGCCAGAAGGAGTGATGATAGCTGCAGCGAGTGATAAATTATGGAACAATGGTCGAGTTTGTGGTAAAATATTCCATGTGACATGCACCGGAGCTCGTAACGCCGTGCCTCATCCCTGTACCGGTAAAACTGTGACAGTTAAAATCGTCGACCATTGTCCCGCTGGCTGCGCTTCTACTATCGATCTCTCCTTTGAAGCTTTTTCTAAGATCGCTAATCCTGTCGCTGGGATCATTAACATTAATTATACGCCGTAATTACTCGACCACCTAATACATATTTTTTATGTTACATTAGAATAATTTGTATCCGGGATTTTAATGATGAGATTGTGTGTTTGTATTTCAGGGCCTAACTGTCGATGAAGTTCTCAAGGAAGATAATGGTCGGATCTAGAAAACCCTTATGAGTATTGTATTGCCATTTCAGCTTTGTAATTGTAATCAAGATAATAATAAATTAAATCCCCGCGATTCAAACAAAAAAAATAAGATTGCATTTGCATAACATGAATTTAAAGATAGACAAATAGAAAGCCGTTTAAAAAAAAAAAAAAAAAAAAAAAAAAAAAAAAAA